CGCGCCCGCCCCGGCCGGCTCGTCCCCCCCCCAGCTCCGCCGCCCCCCCGCGCATGCGCAGCCAGGGCGGAAGGGCTGCTCGGGAGAGCGCCCCCTGCCGGCAGGCGAAGCGGGAAGGCCCCGCGGCCTCTCGCTCCCACAGGCCCCGTCCGGCGGGTGAAAACACGCCCGGGCACAAGGGGCCATTGTTCCTCGGGTGGCGGTGTGGGGGGGGACGGAGGAGGAGGGCAGCTGGGCCGGACCAGCGCTGGAGGGATGAGGAGCCTCCAGGGGACACCACGGAGGAGGTGGCGTTGCCATCCCAGCCATGGTGGCCCTGGCGGCCTGCAGGCACAGCTGGGCCGCAGCAGGGAGACTGGCACCCGGGGGCACCCACAGGTCTGGATGGTGCACACACACCAGAAACGAGGGGTACTCTGTCACCCGGGTGTGGGCTGCCCCCGGAACCACAACCACAGGTACTGGGTGCCCACACCTACAGCAGCGATGGGGAACCTGCCCAGATCTGTGGGGGCAACGGCCTCTGTCACCATCCCCGGGGAATGCCCGTTGCCTTTGGCTACTGCCGGCTCCCCCGGGTTGGAAGGAAGGGAGCGGGGCTGAGTCATTCCCGCCCGGCACGCTTCCCCAGCCGGGTGTCTGGGGAGGGTTGCATCCTGCCGGGCATGGAGACCAGGAACAGCAGGTTGCAAGATGTGGCTGAGAAATCAAAACTCCTGGGCTGCAGCAGAAGCCACGTCCTTGGATTTCAGAGTCTGACAGGAGAAAACGGCCCCAGCAGCATGAGGTGGAACACAGAGGAGACTCGGCAGTGCTTCTTGACATGGCAGGTCTTGGAACTGCTTGGTGTCAAGAAGAGAAGAGCTCTCGCTGGAGGCCCATGTCTGTGCATATCCAGAAGACTCACAGAATCACAGAATCTTCTAGGTTGGAAGGGACCTTAAAGATCATCTTGTCCAACCGTCAACCTAACTGACAAAAATAGACACCCACACAACAAACAAGGAGCATCACCATCACTAGTCCTGTCGCCTGTGACTTGAGAGAAGAGACCGACCCCCATCTCTCTACACCCTCCTTTCAGGGAGTTGTAGAGAGCAATAAGGTCTCCCCTCAGCCTCCTCTTCTCCAGGCTGAATAACCCCAGCTCCCTCAGCCTCTCCTCATAAGACTTATTCTCCAGACCCCTCACCATCTTTGTCGCCCTTCTCTGGACCCGCTCCAGCACCTCAATGACTTTTTTATGGTAGGGGGCCCAAAACTGGACACAGTACTCGAGGTGAGGCCTCACCAGTGCCGAGTACAGGGGGACAATCACCTCTCGGGCCCTACTCGCCACGCTGTTCCTGATACAGGCCAGGATGCTGTTGGCCTTCTTGGCCACCTGGGCACACTGCTGGCTCATGTTCAGCCAACAGTCGACCAACACCCCCAGGTCCTTCTCTGCCAGGCAGCTCCAGCCACTCTGCCCCCAGCCTGTAGCGCTGCCTGGGGTTGGTGTGACCCAAGTGCAGGACCTGGCACTTGGCCTTGTTGAACCTCATCCTGTTGGTCTCAGCCCATCGATCCAGCCTGTCGAGATCCCTCTGCAGAGCCTCTCTACCCTCCAGCAGATCAACACTGCCACCCAGCTTGGTGTCGTCTGCGAACTTACTGAGGGTGCACTCTTCAGATGCAAGTGCATTCTTCAGAGGCTGACACTGATACCCACAAGGGGAAAGCTGTGGGCAGCCTGTGGTGGAGGATGGTGAGGTGAAGACAGGTCCTACGGGCAGGGCAGGGGCTAAGCAGTGACAGACCTCCTCCGGGAGGCCACTGGTAGGTGAGCTGCTGAAACACCCTCCTCTCACCAGCTCGGAGCTGACCTGTGAGCACCGCAGTTCGTACAGAGACGCTGAGGCATCTCTCCTGCTTCTTTTGCAACCCTGAATCATCCTTCAGAGACCTCCAGTTGGGAACGCCATTCCTGTTTGGTGTGTTTTCCTCTTGCTCTGAGGCTCTCCCGGTGTTTGATTAGAGTGTGTGGAGCTGACCTCCAGTGGGATTCAAAGGCAGGTAAAGAGCATCTTGGGCAAGAATGTAATAATCTCTTTTTTTTTTTTTCTTTTTCTTTTTTTTCCTCATTTCCCCAGATAAAGAAAAAAGATTCAGATTAGATATCAGGAAGAAATTTTTTACTATGAGGGTGGTGAGGCACTGGAACAGGTTGCCCAGGGAAGCTGTGGCTGCCCCATCCCTGGAAGTGTTCAAGGCCAGGCTGGATGGGGCCTTGAGCAACCTGCTCTAGTGGGAGGTGTCCCTGCCCAGGGCAGGGGGGTTGGAACTCAATGATCTTTGAGGTCACTTCCAACCCGAACCATTCTATGATTCTATGATTCTATGAAAATGACTTGCTGTCCCACAGTCACCAGTGATCCTCCCACTCCTGGAATGTCCTAGAGCTGGTAGGACTCCCTCAGTTTTTTCCAAGTACTAAGTCAGGCATTGCTGCCTTCCAAACACAGAGATAGGGAAGGAATAGAATGGAATTTGGTACAAATACTGCTTTGAGGAGCCTTTTTCTGACCCTAATGCCGCTCTTCTGCAAGGGGCCAGTCACCCAAAGGGCTGAGATGATGAGACTGGGGGCTGAGGCTGCGGGTCCTGCTGGGTATTTCTGTGGCCTTACAGACAGTCCTTAATGAATGGATGGTACCAAAGGCTACAGCACCTGTGGTATTACCAGTTTGGCAAATCTTGAGGGAATCTAGCTTGTACAGCGCGGTGCTGGTGGCAAATGCTGGGTGAAGCCCGGGAAGGAGGAATTGGAAACGCAAGCTTTGTCTGGAACACGGACTAGCCCACGTTTCTGAGGAATTCAGTGGCTGTGTTACTGCACTATTTGTAAGAGAGGTTTCTGTGTAAGTGCTCACCACGTTATGTCTAACGTGCACCAAGGGGACGGCCGTTTGCTAGGTTAGAACAGCAAAGCACGTGGGGGTGTGACTGAAAAGCAAGACTCCCATCTTGCTCCTGTCACATTCACTTAATTAGGCTGCTTCTGTTTCCGTCATGAATAAAAGCCATTAACTACATCTCTCTATTTCCTTTATTTCTGGGTTTTTTTTTTTTTTTCCTTCATTTTAAGCTGTCCAGGTTGTGCTGGAGGCAGTAGAGGATGGGGGAAGGGGAAGAAGGAGCTCAGCAGGCAACCAGGAGGAGGTGAGCGAAGGGCAAAATGGCAGAGGGATGAATGGCGCCCGCTGCCCTCAACTCCACCTTCTCCTGCCCACCACGGGCTGCTGCCAGGCAGCCTCCCCCAGCACCCTCAGCCAAAGAAAGGGGCAGCTGGCACATTTTAAAAGCAAACTGAGTATCACATGGTGAAGGTAAATAAACAGGACGCTGAAAAACCTGTGCCTCGTTACCTGCTGCTTCCAGGGACTGATCACTCTGGCCAGCAAGACAGAAAACACTTCTCCGTGTGTCCAAAAGTGTTCCAGGGACCCTGTGCACACCTGTAAGACAAAGAAATGCTCGTTATCAGAAGTCAGAGCTACCCACAGCCATTTCCTCATTGGTTCCCTTCATCTGTGCCTCTTGTGTAATCCTTGCCCAACAACTCGCTCTGACCTGGGATGAAGGGCACCCCGAGTGAAGGGCAGCTCCGGTTTGATCCTCAAAGGTGACAGTTCGTATTTGGGATGCCAGAGCCAGCTTCTGGTGGCTGCGGCTCGTGTCACGCGGCAGCGATTACTTTCAGAATATTTTGCTCGTGTTAGGAATGTGTCTGTCACACTGTGAGTGAGAACCACGACCTCCATCTGCGCTGCGTTAGCAAAGAGAGGATCACAAAAATCACGACTGAAAACCTCCCTCCCCTTTCCAGTTTTCTGACGGGCTGTGTCACCCCTTGTCGCTGCCTTCTGCTCCTCTTGCTTCCCCTCCTCCTGCTACCTACCCTGCTTCCCAGCCCTCTACAGTGCTTACTTAAATATGTTGCCCCTCAGGGAGCCACTTCCCAAGGTAAAGTTGGCTGGTGGTTGTATTCTTGGGTATTTCCTCTTGACTTCAGGATGCAGTATCATGAAAGAAGAACAAAACTCATTATCTGCCTGGATTTTTAATGGTCGCAGGACAGAACAGTGTGTATTAAATACATAAATGCATTCAAACACATTCCCTCCGCACACGGAGATTTTGCTAGCTTCACCATAAGTGAAAGGACAGACACTCTCTGTGTCTGAATTTATGTAAATCTAAGAAAAGTTAATGCAAATACACAAGCTTCTGCTCTTTTGTTGTTCAGCAAGCAGTTTGGAAGAGTTTTGGAACCACTTAAAGAGTTAGCTCGCAAAACAAAATTCTTGAAATACCCAGTATTGTGTTTTGCTTTTTGCTCAGAAAATGGCTCAGAGTTAGTTCAGCCTTCAACATAAACAACAAAGCGCCTCCCCCCGCCTGAGCAGAATGCAGTGACAAGAGGAGCAAGGTCTTACAGCAAAATACCACGCGTGAAAGCACCGACACGTATGCGAGCGCGTGCTCACGTATGAAGATACACATATGCAAGCTTAATATATGCCTCAGGAGGAAAGTACCACACATTCTGTACTCACAAAAGTAAATGTATGTAATAGAAATCATCACCGCTATTCTGCATCTAAACACATGCACACACCTGCAGAAAGACAAAGCACAAACAGGGTACAGCACCAAAATTGTAACTTATTGTACAGAGAAAATTGCATTCGTATTGTTGTCCGGGCTGCACACAGACAGGCACATTGTCTGTGTTCCCCAACAATGACGTACCGTGTTAACTTCTGCACCTCCCTCGTTTTGTCTAAGGACGTAAGACTCCCAAAAGGACGGAATATATTCCGCTGAGTTAGCAAAGCCACTTGAGGCAAAGACTACGGAACACGCTGAAAAGGGACTCGCATCTGCAGAGCGCACAATGAGTATCCCTGCGGTTGTGACAAAGGGGAAAACACAGATGGGAGAGGGGAGAGGAGAAAAGCTGCAAATCCATCCGGCAGACGAAATGCAGGGTGGCACGGATCAGACGGAGGAGCAGAAGACACAGGGAAGAGTTAGGTGAGACAGTAATGGGATGCCCTTGGGGCTTCAGCGCAGCAGCTGCAGGCTAGAAGACAAGGGAATCTTACCATCAGGATCTGAAGGGCAGGAAGAGTCAGGATGCAGAAAGAGGCATGTTGCAAGGCACAAAGAAGAGTTTCACGTCAGATTTAGGGGGAAAAGCACACTCGATGCAGGCACGCAGGGCAAATTGGGACACGTGGAAAACAAAGCAGGGGGTGTGCGAGGGGAGTTTTGCATGGGATAAAGGATGTCACCAAGAGAAGCCAAGGAGAGGGCCGTCAAGAACACAGGTGGGAGGCAAAAGCTGAGAAGCAACAGACAAGCTAAAAATTGCAAAGAGGAGATGGTGAGGAGCAGGGAAGGGAACAGGTGAGGCTGCACACTGCAAGTGCTGGGGGGGGCTGGGGGGGTCACAGGTGACAACACCGGTTTGCAAAGCTGACCAAGCTTGCAAGCAACCATCCTACAGGTTGCTGGAAACAGGCTGCCCTTACACAAATGGGTGTTTGTAGTGTTTGCATCCGTGGGTGTGCCCTCTGTGTCAACAAGGCCCGTTGGGCACAGCGACATCACTGAACAGAATCCTTGTTTTATCCCCTCTAGGATGTTGTGTCAAGGCCCACATGTGCATTAATGTGAAAACGTCTTTGCCAAGGGGTCCCTGTTGCCGTAGTTTTGCATTTTCAGTGGTTGAGCATGTGAAGGAAAGGATAAAAAAACCTGATTGGTGAAGAGAAGAGCAGAGCCATGTGTCTCCTGACAAGGAGAAGCAGAGAGGAACACCACCTGGCTACTTTATTAGATTTTTTTTCTCTCCTAATTTGGGGTGTAGGTCCAGAAATTAAGATTTTCTTCTTACAGAAGAGAGCAGTTGAAGAGGGGTGCTTGCACCAAACCAGGGCTTGAATGCTGATAGCTGCTATACCTGAGAAGCTGGCCAGAGGGGCTTTATGGAACAGAAGGGAAGAAAAACATGAATGCATGTATTTTCGTGATTTGTTACTTCGGTACTAGTCTAGATCTGCACGTCTGGGTTACATGAGAATTTCTTTGGGGCAGGCACTATGCACTGTGTGTAGCTAGAAAGAATGTAGATCAGACAGATCGTGAGAGAAGCAGCTGTAGCTGCAGAGGAGAGGAGAGGAGATGACAAGGTGGGAACCCCACCTCCCTGTCACGCAGATTATACTTTACCCCATCTCTTTCATACATTCCTCCAGGAGGTATTTATTGCCCTCCCTGTTCCACAAGCACCAATTGCTTTTTCTATTAAATGCTCAAAATGAAACACACCCAGGTAGGCTCTGAGCACCAGTTCTAAATCCTGACTTTGCACAGAGGCTTATGGAGTTTGTATCAGAAGCACAAGCAGGGCTTGCCTGCCTTGCACACACTTTCTGACCGGACGGATCAATAACCTTGCCTTGTGCCTGCGGGGACGGCTGCGTATGCGCCCGCATCCACACGTACTCATGGGCACGCTTCCTTTTGTACGGAGGCTTGCAAACGTACGCAGATTCTTTTTTGTATACGCCAGTGACTAAAAGTGAGACAGCATAAATCCTCTAGGAAGAGGTAAACGGAATTTAGTCATCCTGGCCCGCTCACGCTGATACACACCGGCCTGAAGCGTGGCTATAGGAACGTGTGCTCACCCAGCAACAAACCCCTGTCCCGGCCAGACACAGCCCGTCCCTGCGCAGAGCGGGGTTTCGCTTAGGAGGAGCTCGGAGCAGGGTACCGAGCCTTCCCACGGGCCGCCCCCCTGCCCGAGGGGCCGCCCCCGCCGGGCGGCGGGCCGAGCCCCGCTTTACCGGGCAGGCGGCAGGGGGCAGTGTTGCCCGCCGTACGCCGGCCGGCCGGCCAGCCAGCGGGGCACCCCGGGCTGCAGGCTTAGGCGGGGCCCGGGCCC